GATTTCATTGTGCTACCCAGTGCAACATGACAGAAATAAACTGCCAAGAAAATCTTGGTTGTCCCTTGTCGTAGTTGTGACTGGTTAGGTAAAACATTCAGATTACAATGAAAGAGAGAGCTTTGATCGCTTTAGGACACAGCATTTTGGAAGAGAGGTACACAGATGGAAAGGAAGCAAAGAGAGGCTGTGTAAGTACATTAAATCTATGAGGTCCAGAGATACAAAGAACAAACACTAGAGGTACAGGACATTTAGTGAAAATGAAAACCCAATCTCATCTGTAGCAGCATGTGTGCAAATGAGCACAATGAATGGTCCTTCCGTGTTTCTTTTCTCGTCCCTGTCATCCTGCGTTCCTGCTCTCCTCCCTCACTGCTTCCTTTCTCAGCCCTCTTCCAAATCTCTTGCTTCTTATTTAACCATGGTGCTTACACAGATATCGGACAGAATGGGTAGGAGTTGCATATAAACTGTTTTTGCAGCTCTATGTTCTCTGTTTATTATTTTAGCTTACCTAGTTGTTCTTAATGAACCTATACTCTATGTATATTGCATTATGCATTGTTTATATCCTTTCATTTGACATCTGATGTGATGTATTATTTTCTATTTTCTTATATATTGATAGTTCACCCAAAAATTGTCATAGTTTTCATAATTTTCTTGTTCCAACCCAGTATTTCTTCTTCTGCTCTTTTCCAAGCTATTACCTGTACTCTGTACTCACAGATAATATAATATTAATGAAATAATAGGCCACTTAAAGGAATAGTTGAAAATGAAAATTTACTGAAAATGTACTCACCCTCAGTGTCTCCAAGATGTTGATGAGTTTGTTTCTTCGTGGGAACAGATTTGGAGAAATGTAGCATTATATCACTTGCTCACCAGTGGATCCTCTGCAGTGAATGGGTGCCGTCAGAATGAGAGTCCAAACAGCTGATAAAAACATCACAATAATCCTAACCCTAATCCACACCACTCCAGTCCATCAGTTAATGTCTTGTGAAGTGAAAAGAAGACATTAGTTGATGGACTGGACTCTCATTCTGACGGCACCCATTCACTGCAGAGGATCCATTGGTGAGCAAATGATTTAATGATACATTTCTCCAAATCTGTTCCCATGAAGAAACAGACTCATCTTGGATGGCCTGAGGGTGAGTACATTTTCAGCAAATTTTCATTTCTAGGTGAACTATACCTTTAATTGTCTCCCTATCTTCCTTCAAGATGACAATGTTCATGTGTAAATCATTTATTCACTTTCTTCTCCCATCCTCTTCTTCATCTCATTTTCTCTTTTCTTCACAGTGAGTGTGAGCTCCTTCAGTTTGGGTAGAGGGTCAGGGAACATTGATTCATTTTAGCACACAGCAGATTTACACTGATTTGCACCCGTCTGTCTCTCACACTCACACACTCTCTACTCGCTCTCTGTGTATTATATGAGACCTTGTACGTCACTGATTATCAAATCCCTCAAAATTCAGCCAGAAAATGCATGAGTGAGGAAACGATAGAGGGCTAGAGAGGGATGCGGACAAAAAAAATGTGTAGCAGCACCCAGCATAAAGGTTGCAGTCGACCGCAGAGTAGCTGCATATTTAATGCCCCCTTTGGTTGTGAGTTTAATCCTAGCGTTATGATGTTGCAATTATTGGAGAAAGATGGGGGCATGCTTACCTTTCACAGTAAGGAAACAAATACATTATTTGTATTCAAAGTGCACCAAAGCCTTCTAAACATACATATTACAAACTAAATTACAAAGGTCACATTAGGTTAACTGCATTAACAGTATGGACAAAAACATACCTTATTCAAGTATGAAAATGTAGACATGCTTGGCCAACACATATCATGTACATGGTTGATGAAAAAGTCGGTTCTATTTACTCTTTTTCAGCTGGCATCACAAATTCTTGTATTCTGTTTCAATATCCTGTTTCACAAAAATATGTCAGATTACAGAAGTAAAATGAGTTGCCGACAACATTTCAGGTTGACTTTAATGTGTTCTTGAACCACAAACTCAGTACTCATGGGGGTTTTAGAGTTACATTAAAATATTATTTTCCATTAAACGAATATGTTATTATTCAGGTAGCTATCAATAAATACATTTACAGTATAACTAAGCAAGCAAGATTCTCTTTAAACTCATGGTCTATGATGTTCACACTAATGCCTGCATAGCACCCCTAGTGGCAGCATTGTGGCAGTTTATTAAGAAATTAATAATTTAAGGATGCATTCAATTGATTAAAAGTGACCGTAAAAACATTTATAATGTTAAAAAACTTTTCTATTTCAAATAAATGCTGTTTTTTTTACTTTCTTTTCATCAAAGGATCCATAAAAAATGTATCACTTTTTCCACAAAAATATTATACATCACCACTTTTTTTAACATTGATAATAATAAATATTTCTTGAGCAGCAAATCAGCATATTAGAATGATTTCTGAAGGATCATGTGACACTGAAGACTGGAGTAATGATGCTGAAAGTTATTTTAAATTGTAATAATATTTCACAATATTACTGTTTTTTACTATATTGCTTGATCAAAAAATGCAGACATTATCAGCAAAGTTCTTTCAAAACATTTTTAAAAATCTTACTGATTCCAAACGTTTGAAAATGATTGAGAATGATTAGTAACACTTTAGATCAGGGAACACTATTCACTATTTCCTAGTTGATTATTAGCATGCATATTGCTAGAATATTGGCTGTTTAATAGTACTTACAAAGCACACATTAATGCCATATTAATTCGGCATGACCATATTTTAGATCCCTTAACTCAACCCTATACCTAAACTACAACAACCTTACCATCAATAAGCAGTTTGAGAGAGGCGGGGCATAGAGGACCTACAATAATGTACAGTATTTGAAAAATAATGTGTTTTTTGAACATTAAAGCATGTCAACATATTCTGTTACACCAAATACACAAAATAATGATCTTTAAAAAAGCATCATATGACCCCTTTAAGGGAAACTCTTAATCTAAAGTGTCACCTTTCTATTCAATTATCCCTATAAACATACTCATTTTTACATAACTAATAGTCTATTTCCAAACTAGATGTAATGTAAAATGTCATTTGCAAGTGCATTCACAAAGCTGAGCAGCATTTGAACATCGCAGCTCATTGACAGGCACAGAAAGACACTTCACTGGATGGCAGCTTAACGCCACAGAACTACAGCCTCGAAAAGTACCACAGAATCTAATCAGCACTCTCTGAATCGAGCGAAACAAAAATGATAAATCACAGATTTACTGCCATCAGGAGCCCGCTTGCATCCAAGCCCAGTGCACAAATAAGTATAACCTGGTATAAGAAGCACAAAATCTGGGCCCAGGAGCACCAAACGAAAACGAATGGTTTATTTTACACTCTACTTCATCCTAGAGGTTGAGAAAAAGCCAAGGGTTCCTTCAAGACAGAATGCTTGTCTCTAGCTGTTGTATGTGATGCATTGTTTACTTTATTTCATTATTTTCACCTCCTGCACCCAACAAAACATAACAAATATGTGCAGGTACTTGAAATATGGATCAGAATAACAAAAACTAACATCAGACCTACGACTTCACTAAAAGAACCACAACAATTCCTACATTCTCCATCCTCCTGGGCTTGTACCTGGCTTTACCACGGTATCTGAGTGGCACTTCTCAGTGTTTGGATATATTGGAGCATTAATGAGCCCATTTACTAGGAAATGCCTCGCATTTCTATAGCAATCCTATTTTGACCGAACATCAGTGAGTAGGCACCAAATAGTCTGGCAGCTGTGAACAGACTTATAAATTGGATTTTTACTGCCCTCCCATAGCTCTCTCAAATGGACTACGTACTTAAATCAGTGAAAGGTGTAACCGCCCTTTTCCCGCCCTTACGTCCTTCAGACACTTTATGGATTTAACGTATCGACTCAAACGTATCTCACAGGGATCACTGCTCCAGTGATATACAGACGGCTTAAACAACAGCTTGAACTGATTCGCTGTCGATTGAGCTTTACAAGCCGAACAATCGACAGACTCTGCGTAAATCAATCACATTTATCAGTGAACTATCAGCCACTGAGAAACAGATTTTATTTTAAAATGTCAGTGCTGGAATTCTGTTGATCTTTCATAAATGGAAGCTATTACGTGTACAGATTCAATGCTGTAAACGTTTATTTAGCACATGCCACAATTCCAGGACATCCTTGTGTAAAACTCTCAAGGATGCTGAGTAGATGTCTTTAAACATCTATACATAAACACTGTAGTGATCTGCTTTAAAATATGATATGTTCAATATCAGTGAATAAGGAACAATTTGTGGTGCATTGAAAACCTTGCATTAACCTTTCATTCATAAGATCTTCATTCAACCACTAAAAGACATTAATGTCCAAAAACATCTACAAAATATATATATAAACACTGAATTGTCTATTTATTTATTTTTTAAATAATGTATTTTACTGGCAGAATAAAGATATTATGAATGAAATGTTAATGCGAGGCTTTCAATGCACCATTTAACACAAATTGCTCCTTATTTACTGGTATTGGATTCATATTTTGAAGCAGCATGCTATTTTTCTTCTATAAAGTCGCATTTTAAAGTATGCAGAGGAGGAAAACACACCCATAATCAGATCTAAAACAGATCTCATTTAAATTAAAAGGAGAATAAATAAAAATAAAAAGGCATACAGCAGAGGCATGATGGAAATAGACCACAGATGCAGGAGTGAAAATAAATGCAGCAAGGGAGGTTTTGCAACATTCATGCAATGCACAGAATGATTTCTCAAACTCAGTTTGCATCAACAAATGTATACAAACAAAACATCAACGATTCATGCATAAAAGCTGACAACGTTGCACTCGTCGTCTTTAAAATGCAGCTTTGCCGTAATAATAATAATTCAATGCATCATGTCAGCTGCGCTCGCGAATCTGTCCAAACACTTACCGGCAAACAGCGAGCAGAAAGAGGCGCGGGATCGGTTCAGTTGGTCAGATAATGCTGTGTTTCTGTCGTGTCGTTGCAGATAATGTCATTGTTTGGGTTTGTTTGGTGTTCGCGTGCCAGTGTCTGGACGGAGTTGCATTCGCAGAAGAGCGCGACTGAGCGACTGACTGATGAGCGAGCGAGTGAGCGAGCAAGCGATGCGCTCCTGATCCAGCCTCCTCACAGCGCGCGCGTCTCCATGGTTACACACCTGATCCATTGGGCCCTATTGGGGCAGGTGTGTAACCATGGAGACGAGCTAGCGGCGATGAGACCGGATAAAACGCTAAACATTCAGTCCCCTGGTGGCGCGAGTTACACTGAATAATCACAAACGCTTATTAGGATGCCTAATGAACTTACTTCTCATCAACATCAGCCCATGCATCCTGACCAGACACACAATTACAGTACTCTTGTTCACTGTCTTCTTCAGGCTTGTTTTTCCTGAAAATGGGAACATGTAGTCATATGATTCATATGTAGTCCTGATTCAGAAGCATAAAGATTGCCTAAAGGTTTGGCCTGTGCCGCCTGTCTCACCTCAGAGGTCTTAAACTTCTCTCTATATAAGCTTAAGGTCATTTATAATCTTTTGAATTGATATTGCATTCATTGCAGAAAAAAACCGAATTAAAAAGTAATATTCTGATGCATCCCACTGTCATCTTTATCTACATTAAAATAAAGAATCATTCCTAATTTACATTAAAGTCCTTCTATACAGAATGATAGTACAACATGAATATATCTTAATCACTTTTTATTATTTGTACAATGAGTAGTTTTGAATAAACATTTTATGTTTATTTTAAGCAATGCATTTTTTAATGGTTTTAATTTTAGTTTTACTTGATGGTAATTTTTGTTTAGTTTAACTTAAAGTATTAAAATAACTGAAAATTACTATATATAAACTAAAAATGTATGATGTAAAAGTTTTGTTTCATTTCATACAGAATGCTGTAAACGTTTTTGTTTTTCTTTGCTTGAGTTTGCATTGTTTTTTGTTTGTTTTGATTTTGTTTGACTTTGTTTTGTTTTTGATCAATCAAAACGTTGTAACCAAAAGTTCTGTCATGACAACTCTCTGAGAGTTTAGCATGGTAGGCTAATATTCATGTCAGTGTATAATGTGTTTGGTCTTGACGGAATAGATTTGCTACGCTGCTGCTGCGGCAGAGAATTGCTACTGCCAATACATCCACAGACATGCTGCTGTGAGCATGTAGGAAATACTGCTGCTGCTGCACATATAACATACATGAAATCACCCCGTTGCAGATCTATACAGGTGGAGCTGGGGAAGGTGGAGGGTTTCTGAAGCGCGCTGCAACTGCTACAGCAAGCACTAGCCAAGTATTTGTATGTTGAGCAGCAAGCTCATTGGCTGCTGATGCGAAAAGAAACCAATCAGCTGCGCCAATGACACACACACACACACACACACACACACACACACAAACTCAATACTCGGGCAACAAATTACATAGCTGAAATAAAAGTGAAAATACCAATAAAAACAAATCACAACAATCTAACATAAACACCTGATTAGAAAAAATCAAACGTAAACATAAAAATACAATCAACATCATTAATGCAGAAAAGGACGAATATCAAACTCTTCATTAAGACCATTTGGTGATAATGTGTTCAAAGTATAAATCCAATAGGCTTCACGTTTTAATGTAACTTGTTCAGTGGCGGGCAGTAACGAAGTAGTTTTACTGGAGTAGTTTTATTTTGAGTAAATTTTACTTTTACTTCACTACATTCCAAAGCATAAGATCGTACTTTTTACTTCACTACATTTCAACAACTCACTGATTCAAATGAACCGTTTAGTGCGAGTCTCCAGTGAACTGAATTCACAAGTAAGAACCGGGAGATATTGTGAGCCCGTGCGCGACTGATGCTGTTAAATGTAAGTTACTAATGTCGAATTTTAGGATTAAGTATTGTAACTGAAAATCCTATTTAGGTCAAAGCTGTCAGTTGTTTGTGAACTAAATCTGCTGTAAAGGGTGATCTGTTTAAGCCCACTGAAATGCTTGAATGCAGACACATTAACATCAGAGTCTCGAGACTTGCTACTGCCAATACATCCACAGACATGCTGCTGTGAGCATGTAGGAAATACTGCTGCTGCTGCACATATAACATACATGAAATCACCCCGTTGCAGATCTATACAGGTGGAGCTGGGGAAGGTGGAGGGTTTCTGAAGCGCGCTGCAACTGCTACAGCAAGCACTAGCCGAGTATTTGTATGTTAAGCAGCAAGCTCATTGGCTGCTGATGTGAAAAGAAACCAGTCAGCTGCGCCATGTGAATGATGATGTGATTGTATCAGATTGAGTTAGAACCTATCGGCCTGCGCCATCTAGAGTTTCATGAGAAAACTTTGTATTTTTTGTTTCGTTTTATTTTTGAGCAACCAGAATTGTCAACCATTCGTTACCAAAGTTATTGTAAACATGTATGATGATTTTTCTTTAATTTGTGGGACTGTTAATGTATGTGTTTAAGATCATGAGAAACACATTCTTATGTTTACATTGAGTCCAGATCTGGAGCCTCCTCATGTGGAGTGTTTTCTCTGTGCAGACAGCAGTGTGGGATACATCGTGATGCTGCTACACAATTGGATTAAGAGGTTTATGGATTATGAAGATCTAAATGGCCTGACAAGGCAGTGATAGTCACCTGGAAAGTGAGTACTATTAGATTAATGGTGGCCCAGGCTCGAACCTGCCAGAGTGAATTAAAGCACCAGCCATTTTGCCCCTGGACATGAGTAATCCTTGCTGATGCCAGTGTTATCGCTGTGTGAGTGGGAAAAAGTTCCTAATGTTCATCCTGCCAGCTGGGGTCACATACATTGACCTCACACCCACTCATAGAACAGCACTCTGACTTCTACCATCCCTTAAAACTGAAAAAAAAAATACTGTTTTCCACTGTGTATTTTTATTATTTTTTTCATTGCCGGGAAAAATAATAAATCCAAATACCAGAAAGATGGATAAGCATAAGAATTCCCAGTCCCTCTCTTCCAAAGCAAGCTTCTTTTTTCCAGGAATAAATGTTGCAAAGTAGGAGGGGAAACCCATATTTATGATCCTGAACTTAAGAAATAGTTTAGGCATTAGATTACTGTTCTGATTGTTTTACCAGCAATAGAGGTCAACATTGAGGAAAAGAAGCATTCTGAAGCAGACTATTAATATGCATGTTTATACTGTATATAGGGAGTAGTAGTTCAAGGAACATTTGATCAATTCCTCAAGTTATAATTAGCATGTGCAGTGCAAATATTAGTGTTATTGTTGTTATCAGCAATGCCAGTCATGGGGACATCTAGACATATTGCATGTTTACTATAAGCAGAACAATAAAACATTGGGAATAAATAGTTTTCATTGTGATGTTTGCATACAGTGCTGTATTAATGATCCCTGATGAGGTCTTACCAGAATACCAGTTGCGGGTCTGTTGATGGAAATAGGATTAGGTAGGAAACAGTGATCATTTCCTTGTTGCAGACCCTCTTTAAAGGGGGGCATCTGGTTGTATCATGATGAAATTCATATTATAATTGTGGGGCTGTGTGGTTTTGCACCGTACCTGTAGTCATTTTCATAACTGTTCTGTTTTGCTGTCTTTTGTTGTGTTCATAAACATTCTGTTTTGTTGTTTTTGTTTGTTTTATTTTGAGAAATCAGATTATGAGAAATCAGATAATTGGAGAATACTGTGAACAAAATGTTCTGCTTTGTTTTGTTTTTAAGAAGAAAGCTTGACACACCACAGGTCCAAAAATGCAAAAAAAAAACAAACAAAAAAATGTATTTCATGTTCTCACCACAGGTGACGCTTCGAGCCGTATGGCTCTTCATCAGACAATGAACACATGTATGGAACGATATTCCGGACAATTTTCAAAAGGACTTGCAAATTGTATTTTCAATTGCGTTTTCCATATGTGGACGCATAAATTGTGACATAATCCAAATGCAATTGCAAATCCTGCATTACCGTTTGCATTTTCGCTTTCGCGAACGCACAGTGACTGCCAAATTTCAAATGAAAAAGCAAAGTCCATTTGCAACTGTATTTCCCATGTCTTAGGAGTTACGAGCCTGTCATATTTAAATAGCAATATTAATTACCACGTCTGCTTTTTCACTCTCGCTGCGTCGCGCATGTAACCTGCCAAAACTCAAATGGAATCGCAATTCCTTTTGCATTTGAATTTCCGATGTCTACATGGAAAGCTGCCAATCATCGTCAGGGGCGGGACTATACTAGGGGGCGTGTTTGTATTGGGAGGTGACGTCACTCACAGAAGACCGTGCCGAATGCTCTGATCAATGGAGGTAATCGGTAAAGGCTCCGCTAAAGGCAGCTACCAATCAGTTTTGTACCTGTGTGAACGAACAGACAGTGCAACCTTCTTGGCACAATACATAATTATGTCTTTTTTACCCCAAATGTAGCGATTATCCCCTGCTAACAGCGGGAGCCACAACGGTACGCACAATAGGTCAATATTCACTATTAACCAAACGCTTTCACCTGTCTCAGCATCTCTCACTGTTTAGAATCAGAATCAGAATTAGCTTTATTCGCCAGGTGTGTGCAAACACACGAGGAATTTGTTGTGGTTTTTTTAAGGTGCTCCTGGTACATACATACATACATATCTGACATGAGAACAGAAAAAAAAATACATTTAAATAGTAAAAACTTAACAATAAATAATGTGTATGAATCTGGAACAGTAGATTTATGTACAGATTTGTGCATTATTTACTCTATATAGAACTGTATAAATAAAGAGATATGCATATGTATTTGCATAATACTTGAGAAAGAGGCAATAATTAAGGATGTAGAATGAATTACGGAAATGAATTACAGAATGCAGGTAATGATTCATATGTTAGCTGTTTAAGCTGGAGATGGCATGGGGAAAAA